CGATGGGGCCACGAAGCGTGTGAGGGGTGTACCAAAACTCGTGCGGTGGCATGCGAGCGCTGGCATTTGGGCCTTCGGTGGGGCTCTTCCTGGGGCCACGAAGCGTGTAAGGGGTTTGCCGAGATGGGTGCGGTGGTGCCATGCGAGCGCGATCACTTGTGCATTCGGTGGGGCTTCCTATGGAACCACGAAGCGTGTGAGCGGTGTGCCAAAAAGAGGTGCAGTGGCCGCATGCGAACGCCGGCATTTGGGCCTTCGGTGGGGCTCCCAATGGAGCCACGAAGCGTGTGAGGGGTTTGCCAAAATGGGTGCGGTGGCCGCATGCGAACGCTGGCATTTGGGCCTTCGGTGGGGCTTGTGTGAGGGAATGCCAAACATGGGTGCGGTGGCCGCATGCGAACGCTGGCATTTGGGGGCCCGGTGGGGCTTCCTATGGAGCCACGAAGCGTGCGAGAGGTGTGCCAAAATGGGTGCGGTCGCCGCATGCGAACGCTGGCATTTGGGCCTTCGGTGGGGCTGCCCATGGAGCCAAGAAAAGGTGTGAGGGGTGTATCAAAACGCGTGCGGCGGCCGCATGCGAACGCTGGCATTTGGGCCTTCGGTGGGGCTCCCGATGGGGCCACGAAGCGTGTGAGGGGTGTGCCGAAATGGGTGCAGTGGTGCCGTGCGAGCGCAACCACTTGGGTATTCGGTGGGGCTCCCCACGAGGGCACGAAACGTGCGACGGGCGTGTCGAATGGGTGCGGTGGCCGCATGCGAAAGCAGCTGATTTGGCCTTCGGTGGGGCTCCCTATGGGACCTCGAACCATGTGAGGGGCGTGCCGACACGTGTGCGGTTGTGTCATGCGAATGTATCCCCCTGGGCCTTCGGTGGAGCCCCCTGTGGGGCCACGAAGCGTGTGAAGGGTGTGCCGAAATGAGTGCGGTGGTGCCCTGCGAACGGTGGCATTTGGGCCTTCGGTGGGGCTCCCCGTGGGGTCACGAAGCGTGTGAGGGGTGTGCCGACATGGGTGCGGTGGTGCCATGCGAACGCAGCCACTGGGGCCTTCGGTGGAGCTCCCTATGGGGCCACGAAACGTGTGGGGTTGTGCTGAAATCGGTGCGGTGGTGCCATGTGAACGCAGCCACTTGTGCCTTCGGTGGAGCTCCCTCTGGGGCCACGAACCGTGTGAGGGGTGTGCCGACATGGGCATGCGTAGGTCAGAGGCACGGCGGGGGAGGCGTAAGGAGGAAGGAGGAGAGGAAACGCGGGGCGTTGTCTCTTCAAAACGAGGACCCAACACAGGATGGTCGGGAACATTTTCCAGGCGAAGGACCCAATCACATGCAGTTGTGAATAACGCAATTGATGGTCTCGTCGTCGGTGGAGCTTCGTAAGGGGCACGGAACGTGTGAGGGGTGTGCTAATATGGGCGCGGTCGTGTCTTGCGAGCGCAGCCACTGGAGCCTTCGGTGGAGCTCCCCATGGGGCCACGAAGCGTGTGAGGGGTGTGCTGACATGGGTGCGGTTGTGTCATGCGAGCGCAACTATTGTGGCCTTCGGTGGAGCTCCCTATGGAGCCACGAAGCGTGTGAGGAGTGTGCCGACATGGGTGCGGTGGTGTCATGCCAGCCAATGGGGCCTTCGGTGGAGCTCCCCATGGTACCACGATGTGTGTGAGGGGTGTGCCGACAGGGGTGCGGTGGTGTCATGCGAGCGCAGCCACTGGGGCCTTCTGTGGGGCTCTTTGTGGGGCCGCGAAACGTGTGAGGGGTGTGCCAAAGTGAAGGGTGACGGGAGGAGGGAGGTTGGGGGGGAGGAGGAGAGAGCAGGAGAGAGGACGAACGCGGGGACCGTTTCTTCAAAACGAGGACCCAACACCACAGGATGGTTGGGAAAAAAGAAAGGAAGAGAGAGAGAGAGAGAGAGAGCGAAAGGGAAAGAAAGAGAAAGGCGGCTACTGCCGTAACGCCGGGTGCTTTGCCGCTGCCGAGGGGGTCCGGTGCGAGGAGGATTGGTACCCGGACTCGGGCGGCAAGTCCATGGTCCTTTGTGCAGTGGAGACATGGGGCCGCATCGACGCCCGCCTGTCTTCCCTGCTTGACGAGTTCGCGGTCTTCGCGTCGCAGCGGCAGCGAGATCGCGGCGTCCTGCCCGCGCGCTGGGGGGCGCGCTGGCGGACGCTCATTAGCGTCAGGCTGGCGCCATGGGCGTGGCGCGCGCGCTGCTGGACGCGGCGCCCGTCCAGTGCCGGCCTTGCGGCGCTGTGCGGAGCAGTGCCTCTGGGGTCCGGGCCGAAGGCCAGGCGGGCCGCGCTGGTGCGGCGGCGGCGCCGGGCGGGTTGCCCGCGCTCTCTCCCCCTCCTCTTCCGCGAGAGAGAGAGAGAGAGAGAGAGAAAAAGAGAACATCATACGGGAGAGAAGAAGGAGCACTGCAGGGCACTGACAGGGGAAAGAGGGGAGTACTTTTAATTTTGAGTGTCTGCAGGGAGGAGAGGAGAGGAGAGAATAGGTGGAGAAAGGGGACAGGAGAGGGGTGGATGGGGGGTGGGGATGCAGCAGGATAGGCCAGGATAGTGATCTCCAGGTGTTCCTGAACCGCCAGCTCAACCAGGTTGGCGGGAGACGATGAGAAGTAGGTGAAAAGGAGGAGGAGGTGGAGGAGGATGACGAAGAGGAGGGGGAGGAGGAGGAGGAGGAGGAGGAGGAGGAGGAGGAGGAGGAGGAGGAGGAGGAGGAGGAGGAGGAGGAGGTGGAGGAGGGTGACGTTCGGAGGAGGACGACCACGATATTGCTGTTGCCGCTGATGATGACGATGATGACGATGGTGCTGATTATGGCGACAATGATGATGATGCTAATGATGATGATGATGATGATGATGATGGTGATGATGATGATGATGGTGATGATGATGCGGATGATGATGATGATGATGATGATGATGATGATGGTGATGATGATGATGATGATGCTGATGATGATGATGATGACGACGTTGACGCTGCTGATGGTGCTGATGCGGATATTGCTGCTGCTGGTGGTGCTGTTGCTGCTTCCGGTGGTGATGATGGTGGTGATAACAACTACGGTGATGGTGGTAACGAGGAAGGTGAACACGACGGTAATGTTGACGATACTGATAAGGATGGTGGTGGCGGTGACGAGGATGTTGTTGTTGGTGATGATGATGATGATGCTGATGGTGCTGGTGATGTTGGTGATGCCAGTTGTGGTGGTGATGATGAGGATGATGATGGTATGATGGTTTTATTGATGACGATTGTGGTTGTGGTGCTGTTGGTCATACGGATGATCAGCTGATGCTGGTGCTGTGCTCCCGACAAAGATACGGAATCACGGCGATGATGTTGGGAGAGATGATGAGAGGATGGTAGTGAGGACGAGGATTGTGCGGATGACGGGGAAACCAGCGTAGATGAGGATGGGATGACTGTCAGCTTGGCGATAAGGGTTGTCGCTGCGACTGGGGGGAGGCCCCGCCCTCCCGCAGGAGGCCCTCGCAGAGTCGTCTTCCCAGCACGCGGATGCCGCGCAGGCCGCTCACACCAGGCTGGAGCAGGTGTCTTGCCGAGTGCAGGCTTGCGAGAGGCCCCACGCCTTACTCTGCTGCTGCTGCTACTCCTGATGCTGGTGCTTCTCCTGCTGCTGGTTCTCCTCCTCCTCTCTCCCTATGTCCCCCCTCTCTCTCTCTTTTTCCTCTCTCTCTCTCTTTCCTTCTGTCCATGTGTCTGCGTCCGTCCTGCGCCCGTGCCTGCGCCGGCGTCGGTGTCCCTGCCCGTGCCCGTGCCTGTGTCCGTGCCTGTGCCTGCCGTTCTTCTCTTCCTCTCACTCACCCGCTCTCCTTCACTTTCTTTTTCTCGCTTTCTGCCGCCCGCTTCCCCTCGCAAGGCCCTGAGCCCTTTCCCCCCTCTCGCGAGGAGGATGGCCGAGGAGGAGGAGGACGAGGAGGAGGAGGACGAGGAGGAGGAGGAGAGGAGGCGAGGAGGGAAGGAGAGAGGAGGGAGGAGGAGAGAGGAGGAGGGGAGGAGGAGGGGAGAGGAGGAGGTGAGGAGGAGGAGAGGAGGAGGAGGATGAGGATGAGGCGGAGGAGGAGGAGGGAAGCGGAGGAGGAGGAGGAGGAGGATGAGGAGGAGAGGGAGGAGGAGGAGGAGAGGAAGAGGATGAGGAGGAGGGGATGAGGAGGACAGGGGGGGGGGAGGAGGCATAGGAGGAGGAGGCGGAGGGGGGAGGAGGAGGAGGAGGAGGAGAGGAGGAGGAGGAGGAGGAGGAGGAGGAGGAGGAGGAGGAGGAGGGGCGGACAGCCTGAGCGAGCACAATCCTGGGTCGGAGAGCGCACGGGCGACAGAAGGAGTGGCCGCGCGCGGGCCTCGAGCCGTAGCAGACACCTCATCGCCTCGGGGGGTGGACTTCACAGGTTGGAGGGGGGCCCATCATAATTTTGCCTGGATGCGGTGCGGCTTTGCACAGGTTGCGCACTCCGTCCCCGCGAGAGGACCCCCTTCCCCCAGAGCATTTATCAAGTCGAGGGCTTCTCAGTCTCCTCCACGTCCTCGTCTTCCTTCCACTCCCTGGCTCCTCCGCCTCTTCCGCGTCTCCGTCGCCACTGCCACAGGTTGCGCACTCTGCACAGGTTGCGCACTCCGTCCCCGCGGCAGGACTCCCCTTTCCCCCAAGGCGTTATCAAGTGGAGGGCTTCCCAGTCTTCGGGTGAAGCCCTCGGGCAGCATCCTTGATCTTCAGTGCCTCGCTGCTGCTCGTGCTGGGGTGGCCAGCGCCCCCACGGCACTGGTCGCCAAGACCACTGCGCTGCCCATCAGGCCAGATCACACGTAGAAAAAACCGAGCAGGTTGAACAGAAGACTGCCCGATCCTGCCTCTCGACAGAGTGGTCGAGCGCACGGAGAGGAGAACGTGCATCATCGGCCTCGGGCGGTGCTGGCGGAGGTACGGGCCCCGAGGGGGGCCACGACAACGAGGAGGGGCGACGACGACGACGATGGCGGTAGGTGCTCAAGTTCCCCCAGACGCAACCAGCAGGCCTTTGTGCGATGCATGCCGACGGTCACTGGGAGCGGCCATTTCCGTTGCGGCCATGACCGTGCAGGACGCCGTGGGGCTTCTCGCGGGAGATGAGTTGGCCCTGGACCGCTTAGCGGGCGAGATGAGGGCGAGGTCGCAGAAGTAATGGATCGCAGCTGCCGCTGGCGCGTGCACGCTCGTCGTCGTCGTCGCCTTTGTCATCGTTGTGCACGCTTGCAGCACGACGGACGGCTGCAGAAGTCTTCGGGTGATTTCGATGGAGAGGATGGGGGAGATGTTCAGGAGCCTTCGAAGCTGAGCATGCCATATTTGCGTGCGGATCAGTACAAAGCGATCATGCTCACAGTTCCGGCACTGGGTATGTCGACATGCGACCTGGGCTCTATACCACAAGTTTCATCGAACGGGCAATCGAATCTTGCGCAGCTGGGAGACACGAGCCCAATATTACGTATGCTTCGCCAGCAGGGGATTGCCCCTTGCAGCTCATGGTGAACTCAGCAGTAGAAATATTTTCCTGGAGTTTCCCTACTACGGGGTCGTGGACTGCGTGGGAGACTCTGGCACAAGACGTCATACTATTGGTAGGGTCAAGTACGATCAGGATCTCAGCAATATGTTCAAGTGGTGTGATAATCGATCATATGAACATCACGTATAAACAAGCAGCGTTGTTCGAGAATGTAGTTGGGCATATCGATAACTTCACCTTGCCCCCCCGAGACGGTGTCCTCGCTGGATTCCGTACTGTGGTTCGAACGAGGCATTGGTTTCGGGCGCCTTAATCTCAGCAGATGCGCCTTGGTGGGCAGCTCGAGTCTCATGGTGGGCCCTGGCGCTGGGGGGAAGATGGACGCCTAAGACACGGTCATCTGCATCAACCGCATGCCTCAGGTTCAGTGGCGAGCGACTTCGGCACCAAGACCGACGTGTTCTTCATGAATCACCCAGCCTTCAGATTTGAAGACGTGGAGATGCTTCAGAGAAAAGGCATGACGCCCAGGAGGACCAGCTGCAGGGAAATGGACAACTGCAAACGCGCGGCCATCCTGCAGAGAGGCGACAACCACTGCAGCCCTCAGGAGATGGCAAGTCAGTACTGGGGCTGGGACCACTCCATGGTCGGCTGCGTCCACCCCAACGTCAGCCTGGTCGCCTATGGCTTCAGGTATCTCGAAGATCTCGAAGGCGGCCAGCCGTCAACTGGCTTCCAGGCATTCCTGGCCTTCTTGCCGCTCTGCCAGGAGTTGGACCTGTTCGGCTTCGGAGGCTCAGCCGCCGTCGACGGCCACTTCGAGTAGTCGGCCCGCAGGCTTCACGAGGAGCACCGCATCCAGGATGCGGTCGCGGCCAGGGAGTGGTCGAGACTCGAGTGGTCCGAGCACGCCGGCCGCCTGCGGGACGCGGTGGCGGCCAAGGAGTGGGGCGCCGCGACGACCCGTGGCCCTGGATGCGGGCGCACGCGGCGAGGGTCCAGAAGTTCCGGTAGCGGGCGGTGTCCGTCGGCGGCGGGCGTGAGAGCCTGGGTCGGGGGCTGCGAAGGGTGCCCCCCTGGCCCAGGGTGCCCCCGGCTTCTCTCGCTCCCTGCTGCAGCCCTTGGGGCCTGCTGGGCCTCGTGGGGGCTGCTCTGGAGGCCGTGGGGGCCTCCCCGGAGAACTCCTGGGGGCGCCTTGGGCCAGGGGCACTTCGGGCCACCCCCGAGGGGGTTGCGGCGGCGGCCGCCCCCAGCGGCGGCCGCCTCGGCGCTCGCGCCTCGGCTGGGCCTCGGAGTCTGCGCCCCCGGGAGTGCAGGGCCCCGGGCCCTGGGGCCCAGGTCCCCGGCGCCTGGGCCCACTGATCCTGGGGCCGTGGCTTCAGGTCCCTGGGCTCCAGCCGGGCGTTGCCGGCAGTGCCCCCGCCCCACAGCTGCCCCCGGGGTTTCCGGGGAGGCGCCCCTGGCCTCCAGCGAGCACCCCTCGCGAGGCCCAGGCAGCCCCATGGAGGGGCTGCAGACGGGGGCGAAAAGCTGCGGGCACCCTGGGCCAGGGGCCCCTGAGAAGCGGCCCCCGAGACAAGGGGGGAGCCCTGGACCCCCGTCCGAGCTGGCCGTGCTTCCCTGGGCCGGAGTCGGAGTCGGAGGGCCTGGAGCGCGAGGCCCTGGGCCCTTGGAGTCGAAGGGCTCCAGAGTCCAGCACCCTGTAGTCTGGGGTCTGGGAGGCGAGGGCCCAGGAGTGGGGTCCCGAATCTGGGCGAGCACGCGCGGTGTGCAGCAAAAATTGCAACGCCCAGGTCTCTGAGCAGCGGCGACGGGTGGCGACGGTGGCGGCGGCGGGCGGCGGCGGCGGCGGCGGTAGCGGCGGCGGCGGCGGCGGCGCGGGCGGCTTGCGGGACACCGCGGGCCGCCGCTGGCAGGCTCGGCGCGATCCACGGCGACGCGCACCGGGAGCACGGCGCGCTGATCCTGGAGGCGCAGAGATCGCTTGCCCAGGTCGCGGGCCTGAAGGACGACCCCAGAGGTGGGTGCACGGTTTTCCCCGGGGCCGTAGGCGGTCCGAGGAGGAGGAGGAGGAGGAGGAGGAGGAGGAGGAGGAGGAGGAGGAGGGGAGGAGGAGGAGGAGGAGGAGGAGAGGGGAGGAGAGGAGGAGGAGGGGGAGGAGTAGAGGAGGAGGAGGAGGGAGGAGTGAGGAGGCGGCCGGAGCGAGGAGGAGGAGGAGGAGAGGAGGAGGAGGAGGAGGAGGAGGAAAGGGAGGATCTGGAGGCGGAGGTGGAGGAGGAGGAGGAGGGGAGGAGGAGGAGGAGAGGAGGAGGAGGATTGGAGAAGGAGAGGAAGCGAGGCGAGAGAGGAGGAGGAGAGGAGGAGGAGGAGGAGGAGGAGGAGGAGGAGGAGGAGGAGGAGGAGAGGAGCGAGGAGGAAGAGCGAGGAGGAGGAGCGAGGAGGAGGAGGAGGAGGAGGAGGAGGAGGAGGAGGAGGAGGAGGCGGAGGAGGAGGAGGAGGAGGAGGAGGAGGAGGAGGACGGGTCGCCTAAGCCCTTCGGAGAAACCCTCCAGAGGAGCAAAGGTACCGGTACCGCTACCCTTCCCTCGTTTTCGCCGTTTCGTGTCTCCTGGGAGGCCTTCGTCGCCACCGCTGGACTCGCCTCGAGATTCTGGTCAGGACGCATCCTGGGAGAGGTTTGGAGGGTGGCGGTATCGTTACCTCCTTGTCTCCCCACGACCGCCCTCTTCTTCTTCTTCTTCTTCTTCTTCTTCCCCACATCCTGAGTGGGGTTCTTGTTTTCCCAGAACACCCTCTCCTTCCCACCCACCTCCCGCTCCATTTTCCATACGGCACAGTATTATTCCTACCACACACCATACCATACCATAGTTCCTACCACACATGCCATACCATACCATACCATACCACACCATACGTACCATACCGTACCATACCATACCATGGCGTACCATAGCATACCATACCATATCACACCAATGCCACACCGTACCATACCATACCATACCTCCAGTACCATACCATACCATATCATACCATACCGTACCATACCATACCTACCATACCATTCCATACCACTCATCATACTACTTACATGGTTTCGTGCCACTCCCACCCCTCCAGGGAGGCCCCGCCTGAGCGAGGAGGGTATCGGAAAACCATACTATTTACATGGTTTCGTGCCCCTCCCACCCTTCCAGGGAGGCCCCGCCTGAGCGAGGAGGGTATCGGAATACCATACTAGTTACATGGTTTCGTGCCCCTCCCACACCTCCAGGGAGGCCCCGCCTGAGCGAGGAGGGTATCCGAAAACCATACTATGTACATGGTTTCGTGCCCCTCCCACCCCTCCAGGGAGGCCCCGCCTGAGCGAGGAGGGTATCGGAATACCATACTATTTACATGGTTTCGTGCCCCTCCGACCCCTCCAGGGAGGCCCCGCCTGAGCGAGGAGGGTATCCGAAAACCATACTATTTACATGGTTTCGTGCCCCTTCCCACACCTCCAGGGAGGCCCCGCCTGAGCGAGGAGGGTATCGGAAAACCATACTATTTACATGGTTTCGTGCCCCTCCCACCCCTCCAGGGAGGCCCCGCCTGAGCGAGGAGGGTACCGGAATACCATACTATTTACATGGTTTCGTGCCCCTCCCACCCCTCCAGGGAGGCCCCGCCTGAGCGAGGAGGGTATCGGAATACCATACTATTTACATGGTTTCGTGCCCCTCCCACCCCTCCAGGGAGGCCCCGCATGAGCGAGGAGGGTATCGGAATACCATACTATTTACATGGTTTCGTGCCCCTCCCACCCCTCCAGGGAGGCCCCGCCTGAGCGAGGAGGGTATCGGAATACCATACTATTTACATGGTTTCGTGCCCCTCCCACCCCTCCAGGGAGGCCCGGCCTGAGCGAGGAGGGTATCGGAATACCATACTATTTACATGGTTTCGTGCCCCTCCCACCCCTCCAGGGAGGCCCCGCCTGAGCGAGGAGGGTATCGGAATACCCAACTATTTACATGGTTTCGTGCCCCTCCCACCCCTCCAGGGAGGCCCCGCCTGAGCGAGGAGGGTGTCGGAAACCCATACTATTTACATGGTTTCGTGCCCCTCCCACCTCCCCAGGGAGGCCCCCACCTCTCCAGCTTCTCCATCGTGTTGATGTTGTCGTACCCCATGGGTCCCACGAGA